CCTTTTTGGGAGAAGAAACAAGACAAAAATTATTTAAAATGCACAAATTTTACCTAAAATGATTGATAAGAGAAACGAGTGGTTTCAGTATTCATTTGCTATCTTCTCAAATTGCCGGGATGTCTCTATAAATACTCATGCTACGAAACGAGCGTTACCCATATATTCTGTTATCAACTCTCAACCATTCAACTCTCTCTCCCTCTCTTCCTTGCCTCTCTCGTTGCCAACACTACAACCTTAGAGGTAATTTCAGGTTTTCGGGGTGTGTATGTCGTGTTTCCCGTGAATCTTGAATACCCTTTCAATTTCACAGGGAGATCTTTGCGGTGTGTTCATTTCCGTTTAGAAAGGAATCTGGGATAGAAGTCTTGGTCTTTTGCACTTCTTTGACTCTGTTTTCACACTATTTCTTTTACATTCTAGAACCATTGCTTTGATTTCTTTGTGGGTTTTAATTTCCCCCTTGATTTGTATATAGGTTTTTCAGTGGTATACTGCTTTCTCTCTTTTATTTGGCTGTAATACTGTGCTCTAGAAGGAAATTCAAGGACTGAGTTTGCTTGCTAATTGCTATGTCTCTCCTGAATTATAAAGCATTTATGTCATTTAATTGCAATCAATTTATTTACTTCCCTTTTTTATTTTATTTGTGATTCAAGTACCTCAACTACCCATGGTGTTCAAGAATTGCAATCTTTTCTATCCCTGATATTGGAATTGAGTTTTGGAATAGCTTGGTGTGAAATTATGTTTGGGAACACTTGATTAAGTTAAAGACTTTGGGTGCTTCACATAAGTTAAATGTTTTTGTGTTGATTTGTTACTGTATCTGGTGAATGCACTCTTAGTTTTGTCCTTTTTAGTGTTTAGACACTTTACTGATTCACTGAAGTGCTTTAGGATGGGAAGTTCTGGAGGAATTGATTATGGTGCTTACACCTATGAGAACCTCGAGAGGGAGCCTTACTGGCCATCTGAGAAGCTCCGAATCTCCATTACCGGAGCTGGAGGGTTTATTGCTTCCCACATCGCTCGCCGGCTGAAGAGTGAGGGCCACTACGTTATTGCTTCTGACTGGAAGAAAAACGAGCACATGACGGAGGACATGTTCTGTCATGAGTTCCATCTCGCTGATCTGAGGGTTATGGACAATTGTCTTAAGGTCACTCAAGGAGTTGACCATGTCTTCAACCTTGCTGCTGATATGGGTGGAATGGGGTTCATTCAGTCTAATCACTCTGTTATTATGTACAATAACACGATGATCAGCTTCAACATGATGGAAGCTTCCAGGATTAATGGCGTTAAAAGGTCTGCTGCTTTATTTTCATTTGATTCAGTTGTATATGGCTTTAAATCTTTTACTATCTATGTATATATGGTTCTTCAGAAAGTTTTGTATCTGAGCCTTGGCTTCGTTCAGGTTCTTCTATGCCTCTAGTGCTTGCATTTACCCGGAATTCAAGCAACTAGAGACTAATGTGAGTTTGAAGGAATCTGATGCATGGCCTGCTGAGGTTTGTTTTTACGCCTTGCCCATCTTTTGGTCTTGTTTGGCTATCCAAAATTACGGTTGTAATTTTATTTTTATCTGCTTGTATTCAAGCCTCAAGATGCGTATGGATTAGAGAAACTTGCAACCGAGGAATTGTGCAAGCATTACAACAAAGATTTTGGAATTGAATGCCGTATTGGAAGGTTCCACAACATTTATGGTCCATTTGGAACATGGAAAGGTAATTTATTTAATTATTACTATGGATAGCTGCATGAATAATCTGTTATTGGTTGCTTCAAATTGATATATTGGTTCACTGGTCCAGGTGGAAGGGAAAAAGCTCCTGCTGCTTTCTGTAGAAAAGCGTTAACTTCGACTGATAAATTCGAAATGTGGGGAGATGGACTTCAAACTCGTTCGTTTACTTTCATCGATGAGTGTGTTGAAGGTGTTCTCAGGTGAGCACTTTAGTGGAGTCATCCTACATTTGGTGGATCGAAAATTGTGTTAAAGCTCCCCTTTAGTTATTCTAATTAGCTCTTAGCATTCTTATGTTAACGACAGTTCAGTGTACCTTTTGTTGCTTATGATGGATGTGGTTTATTATGAAATTGAACTCGCCCGCCAAATGATCTTTCGATGCAGGTTAACAAAGTCAGACTTTCGGGAGCCTGTTAACATTGGAAGTGATGAGATGGTTAGCATGAATGAGATGGCTGAGATGGTTCTTAGCTTTGATGAGAAGAGGCTGCCGATTCACCACATTCCCGGGCCAGAAGGTGTCCGTGGTCGAAACTCTGACAACACTCTCATAAAGGAGAAACTTGGTTGGGCTCCAACGATGAGATTGAAGGTACGCCTCTTAAGAGCCAAACTCTGGCCATTCTAAAGTCTTGTGGTCTACTGGCATGAAGTGGCTCTCCCAAATAGGAGGTCATGGGTCTGAGCCCCAGCGGGGGCGGTATTGACTCTTTATGCTTCAGTAGGTTGAGAAAGTAGTTATGAACAGATACTACATTGTAACAGAGTCAATTGTACAATTTGGCTGTTGCTAAATAAGCGATTGCAATATTTGCAGGACGGGTTGAGAATCACCTACTTCTGGATCAAGGAACAGCTCGAGAAGGAGAAAGCTCAAGGCGTTGATCTCTCCACATATGGATCTTCCAAGGTGGTGGGAACCCAAGCTCCGGTGCAACTTGGATCGCTCCGTGCTGCTGATGGCAAGGAATGAGTGGTGTTTGAAGCTGATGTACTTGTACCCTATAAAAATGTTGAAGAAAAGTTGCTTTGTTTGGAGGGCATATTTATCTTCCTGTTTTTCCTATCTTAGCTGATGAAAAACTATTCTGCCTTTGAACCCAATAAGGTCTTGGCCAAGTTTATGTACAATCATGGTTTGGATGGTTTTCTTATTTGAATCAATGCTCATTTTATCTTCATCAACCAAATTATTGCATATCCCTTTTGCCCCACTCCCTGATAATATTGTCTGTTTTCTTGTTTTATTAGTGACTTTGTGACAAGTTTGTAAAGTGCTGCCTGCCTTCCTCTTCAGTCTTCAAGGACAATGATTGAAAGGGAATATACATGGAAAGGAATCTTTTCAAGTATCCAACAACCATGTGGTTTTTTATTTTTTTATTTTTGAAAAAGTGAAGTATTTTGGTCTTATTAAAAAGAAATTTTGCCCTGACAAAAATTTTGTTATTATCTTTATTTTTTAGGGATAAACCCTGTTGACGAGTTCGATAAAAAAAAGTATTAACAAGAATTGAATTGGTTACCATCTAGTATAAGAATCATGTTTCACACATTCATCTACTCCTTTCAAAATTTACTTCACATAAATACATTTTTTATATTTATTAACTACTAGGCAATTAAGTTTAAAAAGTGACTTACTAATTGAATCCAAAAATGAATTGATCAAGAAGTGCCACATGAAATGGTAAATATCAATAGGTAAAGATTTGTTTTTTGTTTTTTTTTTTAATTACTTTTGGTCCACAAATATTGTACTCCGTACATCTTCCAAATTTGACCTTTGATTATCAATTTTTCACATATAATGCATGACTATCAAATTCTTGTCACATCAACTAAATTTAAGTTGGAAAAATAACAATTTACAAAGGGATAAAGTTGATCAAAAAATTAATTGAAAGGACTAAATATGACAAGAAATTAGTAATTATACACCAAATACAGAAAAATTCATACTTAGGGGCCAATTTTGGAAACAATATAATATTCAATAAGTAAATTTAATATGAGAATTTAACATCTCTTTATTTATTTATTTTTAAAATTTATTTATTTAGTTAAAAGATGCTTGAGTAAAAAGTATTGAACACACACATATATATTGGTGTTTCATGATATCATAATATAAAAACATTTTATATATGTAGTTTTTTTTTTTTTTATTTAAATAAAGTGAAAGGTAGAATGTGACACAATAGAAAGTTATTATATATAGATGATGACATGTGGTTTTAGCTGGTGTTAGGTGTGGTCAAATATTGATATTGTATTGATGGTGGTTAGATGCCAGACTCAATTTGCATTACTTGTAGATTTAGAGTTTGAAAGAGTTGATAGCTTTCGCTATTTATTTATTTATTTGTTTATGTTTTTTGTTTTTAAAAAGCAGAATATCTTGCAAGGTCTCGTGGAATCTTTTATCTTCCTTTCTGCCATGATATTCCGATAGAATATTTTAAGGAATAAGGGAATCAAGGTCTAGCTGCTATAGCCAGCTAATCAAGGTTATTCACGCTAATGAATTTGGTAATTTAATAATTAATAATATAAGCAAGATAATGATATTTTTATTTGAAAATATAAGCAAGATAATGATATTTTTATTTGAAAATATAAGCATAATAATATCTTTATTTGAAGATATAAGATCTTGAAGTAATCAATTTTGGAGAAATCTTTTTTTTTTTTTCATTAAATACTGTAGAGAAATTTCAAAACTTCTATCACTTATTCAATTATTTAAAAAGTGATTTTTTTAAAAAAGAATTTAACCATAGTGAATGATGGTTGAAAAGTCCAACCATTGGTAGTGGGGTGATAAAAGTTTCATTACCTTATTAGAAAATTTATTTTCTATTGGCTTAGTGGTTGACGACTATTTAAAATTTTGAAAAAAATTACTTTTTATAAATAGTGAATAAAGAAAAAAGAGAAGAGAAGAGAAGGAAAAAAGAACAAGGATGAGAGACGTAGAAAAGGAAGAAGGATATTTATTTATTTATAAATTTCTTACTATGGGTAGTCGAAAATCCGAAAACAAGTCTAACAACTTAATTATCTAAATTTATTTCCTTTTTAGATTAAAGGTTAATTTTTTTCCCTCGCGTAAGGGATTCTCTCTACGTTTTTCCCAAAATTAGGGTTTCTTCGCTTTCACGGTGAGCTAGAGGCAGATCGACAGAGAAGTTACGCAGCAACAACGCTGCACAGCAGGGGCGACGTGAGTACAGCTATGGCAGCGACAGAAGCTACGGTGGCACGCTTGTCGGACAGATGGGCAGATATTGTTCTGGAAGACGAGGACGCTGGTGTTGAGGCGCCGGTGGACGACGGTGGGGCAGGGGCTGTAGCAGAATCGTGGATGTTGGTAGGGCGATTCTTGACGCAGCGGGTGATTAAGGTTGAGTACATGAGACAAGTCATGGCCTCGGCATGGAAACCGGTTAGTGGTGTGCATATCACGGAGCTTCAACCGAATCTTTTTCAGTTCGTGTTCCATCACAGAACGGATGTCCAGCGAGTATTGGATGAGGGGCCGTGGTCCTTTGAGAATTGTACGCTGTTGTGTAAAGAGGTGAAGAATGGTCAGTTGCCGGAAGACATGGTGCTTGATACTGTTGAGCTATGGGTGCAGGTGTATAACCTGCCGGTTGGATATAATACGGTACCGGTGCTAGAACAAACGGGGAATTTTTTGGGGAAGTTCCTAAAGGTGGATGAAAGACAGATCAAGGGGCCTCTAAAAGCGTTCTACCGAGTTAGGGTTTCTATGCCCGTGGATAAACCGTTGAAAAGAAGAATGAAATTAATTCGCCGGGACAAGTCATGGGGATGGGTGAATTTCAAGTATGAAAGGTTGCATACTTTCTGCTTTTTCTGTGGACTTTTAGGGCATTTGGAAAAATTTTGCTTGAAAGCTAGGAACTCGACGATGACACCTGAGCAATATCCGTATGGTTTATAGATGCGAGCGGGTCAGGCAAGAGGACCACGGCCGATCGGGGAACCCTGGTTACTTTCATCTGAGGACCCGCCGGTTCGTCGTGAGGCTAGGAGTCAGGAGCCGGAAACTCCGGGCGTGAATGGGCAGGTACACCGCCAAACTGAGGAGGAGGATGGAGTAACGGCGTTGACTAAACGTCGCAGGCAGGATGATGGGAATGAGAGTAGAGGGGAACAGTTGACTGGTATGGATGTTAACATGGCAGACAGTTCAAAAAACTTGTTACAGGCGGGCTCTGGTTCCCAGACCCGCCCACAACAATGAGTACCCTGAGTTGGAACTGTCGTGGCTTGGACAATCCACGGACAGCTCCTGCAGTTGTGGACATGGTGTCCAAGAAGAAGCCTGATTTTGTATTTTTGATGGAAACGAAGGTGGGGCGAATACATGCTGAACGTGTTCGTGTTAAGATCGGTTATGAGGGCATTTTTTATGTTAATAATACGGGCCGTAGTGGTGGTTTAGCATTGCTATGGAGGAAGAACAATACTGCAAGTTTACTTGGTTACTCGAAGACGCATATTGATGTGGAGGTTAGTATAAGTGGTTTTTCAAATTGGAGGATGACTTGTTACTATGGCTATCCGGAACGAACACGGAAAACTGAATCATGGGATTTATTGAAACAGTTGGCAACACGATCCGAGCTACCCTGGGTTGTGATTGGCGACTTTAATGATCTCTTGTATCAGTATGAGAAAAAAGGAGGAAACCCACACCCGAATAGTCTCTTACGCAGATTTGGAGAGACTATTGATCACTGTGGTTTGGCACAACTACCAATGAGTGGTTATCCGTTCACATGGCGGACGGGCAAAGGCACTCTTGGATGGATTCAGGAGAGACTTGATAAGGTACTAGTTACTAACCAGTGGAGGGATATTGTAAATGGGGCCACGGTTACAAATCTGTTGACGAGAAGATCAGATCATTCGACTATTTTCATGGGAATTCGGCATTATGGGGTCAGGAGAGGTGGGGGGCGAGATTTCGTTTTGAGATGGCATGGCTCTATGATGAGGGGTGTAGAGCTGTAGTTGCTGAGTCGTGGGAGGAAGGAAGAAGTAGGGGAACACAAAGTTGTATTGCACACTGTGGAAACCGGTTAACCCGATGGGGGGAGGGGGGGGGGGGACCGTTACCATAAGTTTGGGGAAAAGATTGAGATGCTCCGGAAAAGACGATCAACTCAGGGGATGTACTGATCACGCATCCCTAGATGAGTATAACCGCCTGGAGATGGAACTATGCCGTATGGAGTTGCAGGAGGATGTATACTGGAAGCAGAGGGCCAAGCAGCACTGGCTCAAGGATGCTGATGCCAACACGAAATTCTACCACAGGTATGCCTCGAACCGAAGGAAAAAAAATACTTTATTTAAAATTATGGATAATCGTGGTGAATGGGTGGAAGGGGATGATATGGCGGGTGTAGTTTTGGATTATTTTAAGCACATTTTTACAACTGGTAATCCCATGAATGGTGATCTGATCTATAGCAATGTTACTCCACGGGTAACTCAGGCACATAATGAGTTGTTAGTGCGGCCTTTTGAGGTTGGGGAGGTAAAAGATGCTCTCTTTGAAATGTATCATGATAAGGCGCCAGGGCCAGATGGGATGAACTCTGGTTTTTATCAGAATTTCTGGGATATTGTGGGGGGTGATGTCTCGGCTTTTATTGTAAACTGTCTGAATACAGGCTCGTTGCCACCTGGGCTCAATAATACCGATGTTGTATTAATTCCTAAGAAATATGTTCCTGAGCAGGTCTCTGACTTAAGACCGATTGCACTGAGTAATGTAATTTATAGGATTATGGCCAAGATGATTACTCAGAGGATGAAACCCCTAATGGATAGTATTATATCTGAGTCCCAAAGTGCATTTATACCATGTAGATTGATAACGGATAATATCTTGATTGCCTCGGAGGTAGGCCATTATTTAAACAGGAAGCAATGTGGAGCGGTTGGTTGGAGTGCTTTAAAGCTAGATATGGCAAAAGCCTATGGTCGGATGGAATGGCCTTTTTCTGAAAGGTATGATGGTGGCCCTGGGATTTAATGATAAGTGGATTGATCTTATTATGATGTGTGTTACCACAGTATCCTATAATTTTTTGGTAAATGGGTCACGTAGTGATTCGTTAATACCAACTAGGGACTTACGGCAGGGTGATCCATTATCTCCATACCTGTTTATTATTTGTGCTGAAGGCCTCTCTTTGTTATTACAGCAAGCACAAGGTAGGGGTTTAGTACATGGATGCAAAGTTGCAAGAGGTGCCCCACCTATCTCCCATCTCTTCTTTGCTGATGACAGCTTACTGTTTTTTAAAGCAACTGTGCAGGAGGCAAATGAAATTAAAGGTTGCTTGGCCCTATATGAAAATCTGTCTGGGCAGGCTGTTAATTATCATAAGTCCAGCATATGTTTTAGTAAGAATACGATGGAGGAGATCAAGGAAAATGTGGCACAAGTATTGGGAGTGACCCAGGCTCCTAACTATGGGAAATATCTTGGGTTGCCATCTTTTATTGGAAGAAATAAGAAAGCAGCATTTGCTTACATAGAAGACAAGATCAGGCAGAGAATAGGGTCTTGGAACAAGAAGCTATTGTCACAGGCGGGTAAGGAGATCTTATTGAAAAGTGTGGCTCAGGCAATGCCTACTTTCTCAATGAGTGTTTTCTTATTACCTATTTCTGTTTGTACGGCTATTGAGCGGCTGATGAATAGATATTGGTGGGGCTCAGGGACTGATCAGAGAATTCATTGGAAAGCCTGGGATAAGTTATTTATCCCAAAGAAGTACGGGGGATTGGGTTTTAAGGACCTAAGGGCTTTTAATGTGGCACTCTTGGGAAAGCAGGCTTGGAGATTACTTACCAATAGAGATTCTCTGGTTTCTAAAGTTTATAAAGCAAGATATTATCTGAAGCAACCTTTTACTGATGCGGTTCTCGGGAACAACCCAAGCCACTGTTGGCGGAGTATTTTGGCGGCAAAAGGATTAATTAGCAGTGGGGTAAGAAGACGGATTGGGAATGGAAATTCTACCTCGGTGTGGGGACACCCATGGTTGCAAGATGAAGACGACCCTATGATCCAGACAGAAATGCCACCCCAACTGAGTGATGCCAGAGTAATCAATTTAATTGACCAGGACACAGGCACTTGGGATCGTGATTTGCTTACTGATATTTTTGAACCCAATGATGTGAGTATGATTCTAAAAATACCAGTCTCCCCAAGTTATGATGATATGTGGTATTGGCATGGGGACCCCAAGGGCAATTACACGGTTAAACATGGATATAGGTGTATGGTGGGGAATTATGAAAATGTTGCAAATGTGGGGTTTGAGAAGTGGCTCACATTGTGGAAGCAAAAAATTCCACCCAAATGGAAAACCTTACTATGGAGGACTTTGAGTGATATTCTTCCTACTACCAAAAACTTGCTTATAAAGAGGGTAGAGGTTGATCCGGTGTGTGCCATGTGTGGAGTTGCAAATGAAGATATTATGCATGCATTGGTTTTGTGTGATTATACAAAGACCATTTGGGCACTATCTAACCTTCCATCTACAAATATTGTGACAAATATTTTTTATGAATGGTTTAGTGCAATGTTAAATATTCTAGATTCTGATGGTATTGCCTACGCAGCTGCAATTGTTTACCATGTATGGAGAGCTCGGAATGGTGCGGTTTGGGAGGCATGTTTGCCCAGACCACGACGATTGCTCGCCGCGGCCTAGGCCTATTTTTCAGCATGGCGTCATGTCCATGCGCCGAGAGGGGACTCGAGTCCCGTGACAACCAGCGCCTCAGCGCAAGCTACTGCCCAGGAGGCCGTAAACTGTACTGTCCCCTATGCCACACTCAATCACGCTCCAACGCAACAAATGTCCAAGTGCTATGTCGATGCTGGATATCATCACACGGACAACACAGCAACGGTAGGAGCGATAATATTAGGACCGGCGGGTCAGTTTATCTCGGCATACACCGCACCCTTGCCACATTGTTTTTCCCCACTCATGGCCGAGGCATATGCTTTTAAGGAGGCTCTATCTTGGCTACGCGAGCTTGGAGAGCAAAATATAGAGCTTTTTACAGATTGCCAGGTACTGCAGAGTTACTTAACCACACCACAGCTGCTGACACGATCGTATGTTGGCTATGCAATTGATGGATGTAGGAACTATTTATCTACTTTTAATTATTGTCATGTTAGTTTCTTACCTAGATCGCAGAATTTGTTAGCACATAGTTTAGCTTCTATAGCTTTCCAGTATGACACAGCTATGTATTGGGATACTATCCCACCTGACGCTATTTCAGCTTATCTATGAATACAACCCATTGGTTGACCTTCAAAAAAAAAATCTAAATTTATTTCCATTGTTGGTTATTGACCACTTTCTACGGGTGGCTAGAAATATTGATCGAAATAGCATTATATATTTGATATGTGTTAGGAGTCTATTACTTGTGAGTAGTTGTATTGTGATAGGACTCATAATATTGTATTCATATACTTTGGTACAGTTTTCTATTGTGAATAACACAGACAACACATTCCTCATCTGGTATCAGCAAGTTACGATCACCCCTCTCTCTCTAATGGCAACGCTCGGATCTAATGATGGCTCTGTCGGCAATTCGTCCGAACGGACTGTCTCCGAGGCTGTTCTTGCGGCTTCGTTGCATTTGGGTGTCTCGTTCTCTTCTGCGCATCATTTTGTATCAATCAAACTAACGTCTCGGAACTACCTTTTTTGGCGGACTCAGCTTTTTCCCTTTCTTGATGGTCAAGGATTATTAGGGTTTGTTGACGGGAGTGCGTCGTGTCCATCGGTGGAGTCGCCGGCTGATGCTGGAGCAATCACTGCGGTTTCTGTCTCTCGGGCTGCTGCTGCTCGGCCCGCTTGGTTTCGTCAGGACAAGGTT